TAACCTGATGTGGACTTCCTCGTATCTATATCTCTTGCCATAACTACATCTGTGTAACTTATAAACATAGGTGGTCCACCTCTAAAGCTTAAATAAACCTTAGAGCTCCCTTTGAGATATCTAAAAATCCATTTCACTATTGCCTAGTGCTCTTTGCTTGGATTTGTAAGAAATTTGCTAGTAACACTAACTGCATATGCGATGTCCGACCTCGTACATACCATTGCGTACATTAAACTTCCAACTGCTGAAGCATAAGGAACCTTTTGCATTTTCTCCTTCTCCTCATCACTTGACGGACTCTGTTCTGAGCACAACTTGAAGTGACTTGCAAGTGGAGAACAATTGGTTTTGCATTGCTCATATTGAATCTTTCCAATACATTCTCAATGTATTTCTCCTGTGACAACCAAATCTTCTTATTTTTCTTATCACGGAAAATCTGTATACCCAGTATTTGCTTTGTTGGCCCCATGTCCTTCATTGCAAAAGACTCACTCAGTTCCTTCTTCAATCTGTCAATTGTAGACATATCTTTCCTAAAAATAAGCATGTCATCAACATAAAGTAAGAGAATAATAAAATTCTCACCAAACCATTTGATGTACACATAATGATCTGAAGCCGTTCTTTTGTATCCATTTTCTATCATAAATGAATCAAACTTTCTATACCACTGTCTTGGAGTTTGTTTTAGCCCATACAAGCTCTTCTTCAACTTATAGATAAAGTTCTCTTTACCTTTGACTTTAAAACCTTCTGGTTGCTTCATATAAATTTTCTCCTCCAAATCACCATGAAGGAAAGATGTCTTCACATCTAACTACTTAACCTTCAAGTCCTGGCTAGCAACAATACTAAGAGCAACACGAATAGAAGACATTTTAACAACAAGAGAAAAAATCTCTTCAAAGTCAATACATTTCTTTTGACCAAAATCTTTCACAATCAATCTAGCTTTGTATTTTGGTTGAGAACAATATTTTTGAGTCTTCAACTTAAAACTCACTTATTCTTCAAGGCCTTCATTCCATTTGGTAGTAGTACCAAATCATAAGTGTGGTTCTTATGAAGAACATCCAACTCTTCCTGCATAGCAACTAACCACTTCTCTTTCTATTCACTTTCAACTGCTTTCTAGTAACTCTCTGGTTCACTTGCATCAGTAAGCATCATATAAATACTCATCGGTAGAGTATCTTTTGGAAGGTTGATGTTGTCTAGAAGATCTTCTCAATTGAGGTTCTACGGGAAGCTACTCTCCAACTTTTTCTTGCTCAATATGTCTTGCAGGTAGATCGACATCAGGCTCTACACCATTTTCTTACACATCTCCCCTATCACCCTGATATACTAGAGGAGTAACTAGGTTACAATCTACTAATCCTTCTGCAGAAGTCTTGGCTTGTGTCTTCGTCTTCAAATCCTCAAAGGTTTGATCCTCAAAGAAGACCACATCTCTGCTTCTAAACACCTTTTGTTTTTCAGGATCCCAAAGCCTATAATTAAACTGATCATATGAGTAACTAAGAAAAATAGATTCTTTAGTCTTATCATCCAACTTAGACCTCTTATTATCTAGAACATGTGCAAATGCACGATAACCAAATACTCTCAAATGCTTGTATGAAACATCTTTTCCTAACCATACATACTCTACAACATCACCATCTAGGGTTGTACATGGTGACAAGTTGATCACATCAACTGTAGTTTTCAAAGCCTCATCCCAAAACTTTTTGGGTAGCTTGGCTTGTGAAAGCATACATCTGATCTTTTTCATGATAGTGTGGTTTATCGTCTCTACAATAGCATTATGCTAAGGTGTACTAGGAACTATCATCTCATGTTGGATCTCATGTGACCTGCAATAATCATTAAATAATCCTATGTACTCATCACAATTATCTGATCTTATGCATTTCAATTACCTTTATGTCTCCCTTTCAACCCTGACATGAAACTCTTTGAAGACATTAATAACCTGATCTTTGGTCTTCAAAGCATAGGCCCAAACTTTCATGGAAAAATCATCTATAAAAGTAATAAAATAAAGTGCACCACTAATACCAGAAATATCAACAGATCCACCAGGAGTTTTTATCCTCAAAAGATCACATATATGTGTATAAACACGGTTTAAGACATGCATTTTTCTAGACAAAGCAGGACTAGCAAATGAAACTCTATATTGTTTACCAGCCAAATAATCAATATAAGGGTTCAGATTGAGGTCCAGCAATACCTCTCTCTTGGAAAGAGTTTACAGCCCCTTCTCACTCATGTGTCCCAATCACCTATTCCATAACTCTATGCTGAAGTCTTTCTTTGTAGCATTTAACTGCTCACCACAAGCTTTGGCCTGCAACTTGTATAAGGTGTGACATTTCTTTCCACTAGCTATAACAAGAGAACCCTTACTGAGCTTTCATTGCCCTTTGTGAAATCTACTATCATAGTCTTCATCATCTAGTCTTCCAACTGAAATTAGATTCAGTCTTAAGTCAACCATATGTCTCATATCCTTAAGCACCAACCTGCAGCCAAGGTTGGATATCACTCATGTTAATGATGTCTATTATGCCATAGTTGCCCATCTTGATAACACCAAAATTTCCAAACCTGTATGTAGCAAAAAACTCCCTTCATAGTGTAGCATGATAAGAAACACCTGTGTCAATCACCCACTTAAGATCCTGACACACATAAGAAAAAATATCATCAGAAGGAGACAAAATCAAATAATCACCACCCTGCACTATGGCTGTGATATTATCTTTTGACTTTATAGACTCCACTTTTTGTTCCTTTTTTTTGCTCTCCTTAGGTTGCTTGCATTGGTTCTCACCACAATTATAGCAAACAATATCATTTCTTGATCTTGACTTGCTTCTACCCATACGTGAACTGCTTCTAGACTTTGACATTCCTCTGTTTTCTGAGATAAGTGCCTGTGAATCATTCTGAGATGTTGCTGAATTCTTTCTCCTCAACTACTCATTCAACAAACTATTTGTTACTTGACTCATGGTGACAATACTATTTGATGCAGAATTACTGAGGGAAACAACCATTGTCTCTCAACTTTCTAGTAATGAACTAAAAAGTAACAATGCCTGCAACTCATTATCAAAGACATTTTCATAGAGGATAACTGGTTAGTGATACTCTGCATTTCATTCAAATACTCAACAATGGAAGCACCCTCTCTATATTTTAGGTTCACAAGTTTTTTGATCAAAAAAGCTTTGTTGCCAACTGTTTTTCTTTCATAGAGACTTTCTAACTTTTTCCAAAGAGAATATGCAGAAATTTCAATACAAACATAGTGAAAAACATTATCATCAAGCCATTGTCAAATAACCCAAACTGTTTTTCGATCTAACCTCTTCCACTCATTATCTGTCATAGTTGTGTGTTTTGTACTATCCCCCTATAAAGGTCCATACAAATCTTTGCAATACAAGATATCTTTCATTTTTGGTTTCCATATCATCCAATTGTTTCCATTCAAATTAATCATGCGAGAAATATTACTGGCCTCCATGTTCAAATACAAAAATAAAATCACCACAACCATGCTTTGATACTAGTTGATGAGATATAAAGAAAAATAAACTTTTATATATGAAAAAATACTAGTAGGTCATAAAACACAGTGGAATTAAATGGAATCACAATCAAATAAAACATCAAGACATACGTGGAAAACCCCTTCAATGTGAAGGGTAAAAACCATAGGGCAAACTAGAGATAATCCACTATAAGAATAATGAATATACAAATCTCAATCTCTTGCCCAAAACCTTAGCAATAATCACAAGAGAATAACTGGGATACAATGATCACGTCACTTTGCACAAAATTCTAAATCCTCCCTAATTCTCCCCAAGAAATCACAGTAAGAATCTATTATAGATTTGATCTAGATTTGATCTAACCTGAGATGAGAACATTGCTAGATGATTGAGAACAGTCTCTCTGCGTTGTCCTTGTTTTCTTCCCTTTCTTTCTCTGATTTTTATCTTTTTCTCCTCCTTTTTGTTGTTGCAAGGATCACTCTTGCTGCCTCGTTGTTGTCATATTTATGTCTTTTTTTTAGCCACCACATACCTCCTAATATGAATTAGGATTAGATTAAGAGAGTAGATGGGTCGTGGGTTGTTCAAGCCTACTATGGGCTGAACCATGGGCTGTCAGCCTAACACACCCTCCCCCCCCCCCCCCCCCCCCAACAACCCCCAAATGTTATATTTCTTCATATCACATAGGATTCTCACCAAAAGCAACAACGTCGTCCCCAAATATCATAAATTAATTACTAGACAGTTTAGTGATGAAAATATTTGTCAACCTTTCTTGGGATTAGGTTCCTAATTAAAAGTTTTAGTACAAAAAGAACATAATAGTCACTGAATAATTATTTTTAGTCACAAGTAAATTTTGGGCCAATCTCTTAAATAGGCATGTATTTTTGTGATTTGGGTATTTGTAGTTAATTATAATAAATAGATCGTATCATACAAATCAATACACACTATTTTATTATGCATTTGCCATTAAGGTGTTCGAGCAAATGCGGAAGCTCAAATGGAACATCACTGCCAATCTCGAAGCAAATAGAAAATATATGCACCTACTCCGACGGGTCTAACTAACTATCCAATTCCGGACGCCGTACCATGTCAAATAATATTGGAGATGAGATCATACGATATCAATTAAGAGAGAGAGAGAGAGAGAGAGAGAGAGAGAGAGAGAGAGAGAGAGAGGGAGAATGAGTGCATGCATGTGTGAGAGCATCTTCTCTTTGAAATTTCAAACAGATTTGAGGTAATAATAGAGGAAACAAAAGAACAAAAAGCAGCATTAATAACGCACATTAATGGCTGCCATTGCAACGCCTGTGCGTGCGTGCCTCCAAAACTGGACGCCCACCTCTCTTTCACCGTTGTCACAGTGCCTTGAGCACTGTGATCCCGATAACATGATCCGTTTCATCTCTCGGGTCTCGTGGTAATATATATCGTCACCTCCTGTCCCATTTCCCAACACGGAATCTTGCGGGTTTTGAGGCATGACATGTAGCAAGTGGATCATATCTTATCGAGCGCCACTGCAGTGCTTCATTGTGACATCTGCAGCCTTCTTCTCGTTTGAATTGATCCCTTCTCCTCGGTTCTTCCTCCTTTCTTCTCCTTTGGTTCCCAGAGAAGAGAAGAAGGGGATGGGGAGAGAGTGGCAGTGGAGTCCAAGGCCTTTGGCTAGAGGAGCCTACAAGGAGAGCCACCCTGGTTGCATGAGCGGCATGCTTCACTACTTACACTTTCAACACTTGCTCTTCGCTGGCAGTAGCAGCAAAGCTCAAGCAGTCTCGTCGCTGTCATTGCCTCCTCGAATCGATCATAACTCTCAACAACTCGAAGGTATGGACGCACCCAGGAATAGCCTAGAGCTGGATGATGGGAAAGCGTCGTCGTCGACTTCGACCGTAGAAGATGAGTTTTATGATGTTCCTGTGAGTCTTCTTCGCTACTTCTCTCTCTCTCTCTCCCCATGGCATTTGATTCGCTTGTTATTGTCAGGTTGGGATAGAAATAGCCCCACGACTAGTTTCACTATCAAAGAACAAGAAGAAGACGTTGATAGAGGAGGAGAAGAGGAGCTCATCGGCCGAGACTCCAAGAACTCCGTGCCTCGTGGCGCGCTTAATGGGCTTGGAGATCTCGGCGGATCAAGCCTCTTCTCCGACACCGAAGACGCCACCGTTGAGGGAGCCGCAAGCCAAATCTCGAGTGAGAAACAACAACAAGAACGTTGGCGGACATCAGTATACTAGGAGAGAGTCACCATCTCCACGGCAGCCACTTGGGAGCTTAAGCTGCAACGTTGCAGCGTCTCCTCGGGTCAGAATGGTCGACGCAGGTTCTCGGTCCTTGCCGGAGACGCCGAGGGTTTCGTCAGCGACGTCCTGCGACGTGGATCCCAGGTTTTCTCTGCAACTCAACAAGAGCACCAGTAAGGCCGTGAAGGAGGAGTTGAGCTACTTCTGCAAGGTGACCGGCAATCACTTGCCGTCTCCTCCATCAGCATACTCGGCCACGAGGTCTATGAAGAACGAATTCGTGTGGCATCAGGATGAGAACAGGAGCCCGAGGAGCCACCGCTATGCTCGTGAGATCGTCGAGCAAGTGAAGGAAAGTATCAGTGGCAGAAGAGGCGGAAGAGGAGGAGATGGCGGCTGCAGTGGCGGGGATGGACTAAAAGCCAAGTCTAAGAGAACCAGACCGACCGAGAAGAAGCTCTCCAACCCACCATCTCCTTGTTCTCCTCCTCATATAAGAGTCTTGGAGATCCGAAACAACGACATTAAAGATGGAACTAAGAAGTCACGAACGCTGCCTCCTAAATCGCTTCGGTCGCAGGCAACCGACCATATGTCCTCATCAAGAACTTCAATAGGCACTCCAGATTATGGTGAAGCAAAGACTGTTAAGATGGTCCTCAGCAAGTGTAAGAAAGCTGATAATGATCGGTTTACTGAGAGGATCATCAGGAAGGAAACACAATCACCGACACCAACATCAGCATCAGTCTTTCAATCAGCTGGGAATAGAAGCAGTCGCAGATCCTCACCATCTACTGTGGAACGGAGAGTGGAAGAAGTATCCCAGCCCGCGTCAGTCTCACGGTCGTCTTTGCCCCTAAACGTCCGTAACTTTCGACCATCAAGCATTCATATGTAGAAAGGCTTCAAATTTAACGCCTTTATTATTCTTCTCTTGCGCAGCTGATAGGAGTTGGAGGTGGCAAACACCAATCAAACAATCCAGAGTTCCGATATATGAAGTCCATATTTGAACGTGCAGGGATCGCCGGAATTCACACAGTAAGATGGTACTCGCCGTCGCTCCCAATCGATCCCATCGTCTTCCATCAGCTGGAGCTCGAGTTCCCTTTCTTCCTTGTAGAAGAAGAGGAACGATGCAAAGACATCGAGGAGGAGGAAGAAGAGGAGGTGGACCTTCTTGTTCTCGGTCCTTTACGGTACCGATCGAACAGGAAGCTCCTGTTCCATCTGGTAGAGGAGATCTTAAGAGATCTCCTTACCGGATGTTGCAACCTCCCACCATCGTTCTGCCGCACCAGCGATAGGGAGGCGCTGCTGCGGCAACTCTGGGGACAGATCGAGAGTTTCCCCGCCGCCGACTGCCGCGTGGTTGGCGACATTGACGCGCTCGTCGCGCGGGACCTACCTGAGGCCCACGTGCGCCTCATGCTGCGCCACCCCTCGGTGGTGGAAGAGGCGGACGATGTGGTGTTCGAGGTGGAGCAGGATATCCTCGACGGCCTCCTTGGCGAGACCGCAGCCTGTCTGGCCCTCCCCTCCTCTGCTTCCTCTCAAGGCCGGGGTGGTGGTCACTACGGGTTGAGTACTGTGATGTGTTAATATGCATGCATGGAAGAAGACCTCAGTTTGCTGTAAATGAAGCAGACACGCTTTTTCTTCTCTCTTTTCTCAGATTTGGCGTGTTCTCTGTCTTCATTGTGTGCTTTTCCCGAGAAATCTGTTGCCGTCAGAAGCTAAGCTTTTGTCAGGAGTTTTTGGCAAATGATGAAGGAGATGGATGATGCAGTAACCAATGAGCCAATGAGCGCCTCCGTTCCGACAGATCATATGCTTTCGCAACGCAGTCCATTAATCTGATTTTGATAATATTAAATTAATATAAATAAAAACGGAATTAACCTCCGAATTTTTTTAATAGAATTTTTTTATTGATACTTGAAATATCCTTTTCCCTCTTTTTACCGATCCATGTGTTTTAGTATTTTTAATAATATTATAAAATATTATAACATAATTAAAAAATACTACAACATAAAATTTTTATTCAAATTTTATAAAAATCCTGCATTTATGTTTATAGTGTTTTTACATTGTGTTATATTACACTATTTTTAACAATATCAGAAAATTATTATAACGTAATAGAAAAATAGAGTTACATACCAATTTATATATTACGTAATAATATTTTTTGATATTATTAAAGTTATTATAACACAATGTAAAATTACTATCGGTTGATTCTTAGGAAAATGAAAGGAACGACTATCCTATGGATTGATCTGTAGGGAAATGAAAAAGGATAGATGGCTAGAGTTATTTTAGGTATTAGATAAAAAGATCACTCCCAAAGAATTCTCAAAATGAAAGACACTTGGAGGATTCTTTTTTTTTTTTAGAATTCGTCCAAACTTTTAATATTTTTCACAAAATTACCAAATACAATTAGACAAGTGCGGTAAGATGGTGATGTCAGAAGTCTTTTGTTTCTCTCTCTTCTCGTGAAGTCACTAGGATAACATAAACTATATTTTCTTCGATCAAGTTCTGTAATTTTCTTGGATAATATAATTTTCTAAAATATAAAAAATAATCTTGGCCTATATAATTTAATGAAAATAATAATTTTACGTAAGAGAATAGGTCAGTTAAACTAATCAACATTGTTATGCACCCAATTAATGTGTATTTGGATCCCTGTCTTTATTCCTTAGTTTGACGATTCGAACATATTTTTCAATATATTCTCCTATGTAATATGTATAATTTGATTTGAATAAAAAATAGTTCTTATTGAAATTTTTTTATAATTCTAATTTTAATGTAATTTATGAAAGGATCAATATTTCTTTGTAATGGTTAGATATTAATATAATATAAAATAAAATCTTGAACAGTTATAAATCATATTATGGTGGTTTCTTAGTCTGTTGAAGATAAGTCTTGAGTAAGCTCCCTGTTGTACAATTGACATTCTATGATATTTGGGTGAAAATTGATTCAGTTCAAGTTGCAAATATTAAATGGCTCTCTCATAGTAAATTAAAATTATTTTGTGGGTCTGTTCTAATGTAGCCCAAAGCTTTAATTGATGACTATAATTTTTTTTTAAATAACAATTGTAGTAATTAGACTTGATCGAATGATTGTATTAGAAAAAACCGAAGATGGAACCATCGATCAATTTGATTTGTTTATGGGATCAATTTTGTTAAAAAACTGGGAAAGAAAAAAACCATTTTATCAACCGATCTTTGGCTAACTTGAATGAATTGACTTATTCAAATAAATTGATCGAGTTTTAAATGCAATTAAGATCACTTGAATATATATATATATATATATATATATATATATATATATATATATATATATATATATATATATATATATATATATATATATATATATATATATATATATATATATATAT